AAATTTAAATTATAAAATATATTATTTAAATGCATTTTTTTAGAATTCACGAAATGCATATTTTTATTCGGTACTACCTAAAGTTTTTCGGCGCTAACTGGATTTTCGGAACAATGTACCTAGGTTTTTTCGGGACCATCTGTCTTTTCTAATAACTTTCTCTTTGCCCGATACTATCTTAATTTTTTTTCGGTACTACTTGGATTTTTTCCTGGACTATTTGCATTTTTCGTGAGTATCTGGATTTTTTCGGGACTATTTTGATGATTTTTTTTTTTAACTAACTAGGTAGATATATTTTTTCGAGGCTATCTGGATTTTTTCGATCCATCAGAACCTTTTTAGAACTATCGGGGATTTTTATAAAAAAAAAATGGCATTCTTCGTGTTTAATTTTTCAGGAAATCTCGGAATATTTCGTGTTTAACTTTTCAGATTTTTTCGAAATTTACCCTAGACTTGGAAATTTTCCATAACATTCTGGGATTTCCGGAAAAGTCCGAATTTTTCGAGCTTTCTAAAATTTTCGTAGAATTTCAGATATTCTGGAACTGTTCAGGATTCTTCATACATATTTTATTTTTCGAGATTTTTTCGGTGATTATCGTAATTTTTTCATGACCTCTTGCGACTTTCCGGGAACTTTTTGATCTAGAAGTACATTAATATATTAACTTCTATTTTTTCCCGATACGCTGATTCCGGATACTAGGTAAAAATAAGAGCCGGATTCGTATACCCAGTAGACATGTCTAGAGTAAAAATTGGGGAAATTCTACCCGATTTTAGCAGTATCCGGCTTGATAACCAGAAAACTTTCGACTATCCACCGGATGCCCGACACATCCGTAATAAAAAGCAAGTAATCTGTATTTCTTGCTCAAAAAATTAAATAAAAGCCAAAAGTCAATAAAAATTTTTCGTGTTTTATTATAAAGTTATACTATACTTTTTATTTATGAGCCGATTTAAAAGTGTTTTAATACCTAAATCATTTAGAAAATTAAAAATATGAGCTTGAACTTAGCTTTTGAGAAATTTTTATTGTTTTTGTTGTCATGTTAGATAAGTATGTAAAGCAATTCTCTAATCATTCTAATGGTTTGAGAACCAATGTTTAGATAGTCATGCAATATATTTCAATAAAAAAAATATATTTAAAAAAATAATTGCATTTGATTTTTCACATTGCCCCCTGTGAGGTTTGAACTCACGACCCCTGGTTTACGAGACCAGTGCTCTACCTCTGAGCTAAAGGGACTTAATCGAGTACGCATCTTATAAACTACTTCAGTAAGAAAATTACACAGCATTATAACTTTTTTAAAGGAATTGGTACGAATATACCATATGTGACCAGAAAAATAATTTTGTTAATTGAATGTTTCAATTTTAATGATGAACAAAGATCGAACAGGCGATAGTAGTTAAAAAAAATGCGTTGACAGAAAAAGATTTTTGATGTGCTGTGATAATTTTTTTTTTCTGCAGAAGCAAATAAGGAAGCAGAGAACTTAACATAAATTAAATAGATAACAGTACATACATACATATGTAAATAGCAATAACATGAGATCTTTAAAGGAAAACTAAGGCACAAACAAAAAACAAAAACTGAATGTGTAACAAAGTCGAAATGTTCTGTGTAGGCAAGTACAAATGTACATACATATGTATGCATGTATAATGGGTTGTAGTGAAAGCAACGATGTGGCTGCACAAACCTAAGTAAAGAATGGAGCAATGAAAACTCGAAATCCACAAGCAAACATTTAGCCAAGTAAAGGAAAAAGCCAAAACAAACAACACAACCAACAGCATCAATAATTTTTCCGCCGGATATTCGCTTGTTGAGCTTTGTGATTTGGCAAATGTTCGCCACAGCTGGTGACTGCCGCGCCGACCATGGACTGCTAGCTGGAGTTGATAGGAAGTATGCAGTAGGTTCCATCCCTATGGCCACACAACGCGGGGCAGTCTATTGGGTGGGCTAGGAGGAGAGGTTGTTGAAAACAAATACGATTGTTGCTAAGTTTTTTATGCATGTAAAGTAGCAGTTGTACATACATACATATAAAGAACTGGTATGAATATTTGTGCTGATGGTCACTTTGTGATTTGTAGGCAAAGCTGTAACATTTTGCAACAAAATATCCTTGTTACGCGCGAGCGGATTTGCAAAGTGGACAAATGTTGGTGGAAAATAACAGAGGCAAACAAGTGGGTTTGTCTGTCGGCGTCGTGGATGAACTGCTGTTGTATATTTTTTCTTACTGTTGGCGGTTTATAATTAATAGCTTGGTTGAAAAGTTATAAAAAGAAAATGCTTCGTTGGTGGTTTCCTGAAAATTTAAGTTGAATAAATAGAAATGAAAGCAACATATGTACAGATGTATTTGAGTAGGAATCGCAAAAAACAACGACGTGTGTAAATATTTTGTGTCTTTTCCTCTGAGAAATTTATAAAAAAGTATTAAGAAAAAACTTATCAGGCAGAAATTAAGTATTCTTTGATCGAGGCGAAGTTTTCAAGGACAAAGGTTTACGGCTCTTCGTAGTTAAATATGAACCGAGAATCTTTGAAAGTAAAATTTTTGAGGTTTTATTATTCGGTTCTTGGCAGGCTTCATTGCACCGATCCTTAAGCGACTTTTCCGACCAAAGCTAAATACTTACGTGAAGACCAAAAAAAATACTCTCTGTTAGCTTCTAGACCTTCTCCAGGTTCGCATGCCATCAGACACAACATCTGACAATTATACCTAATAAAATGTCTTACAATCAGGGACGTAAGAGTTATTTTCCTACGTTTATTTTTTACGTTGTCTGATAAACGTCGTAAGATAAGGATATTGATGAAGATGGTGATGTACAGTAAAATAAACATGAGGAAAATAACAGTGATAGAGTGAAATGACTCTTATCAGACAATGTAAAAATAGACGTCGGGTAATAACTGTTATCAAGCAACCTAAAAATTAAACGTTGGGAAATAACTCTTATCCGTGAGACAAAAATATTTCTCATCTAATAACTGTTATGAAACAACGTTTTCGTAAAATTTCAGAATTTTGTGAACGATTTAAATATGTAAATTCGCGATAACAGTTATTCTTGGCCCCTGCTTATAATAGCCAGGCTTTTTGTCTTTGATTTTGCTTTTGTGTTTTCGACTTATTAAAAAAAAAAAACATATGTGAAGTGCCGAACGAAAACGTACTCAAATGAAAAAATTTCCAAACACAAAATCTCTTTAAAGCAAGCAAAAAATCACTTGGCGCCAAATCATATTCATTTTGGTTTAAAACAAACACCATACATATTATTTATTTTTTTCTCATTTTCATCTTTCAAATCTGTGGAAATAATTGATTTGCTGTTGAAAGAATTACGTTGATTTTACCGGCAACAAAATAAGTTGAAAGTTAGTAAAAAAAATGTTTATGGAACTTTGTATATTGTAGCCTGATTTGAAGGCTTCAGTCCAGATTATCGAGTTCCTAGATCATCACATGTCTATCGCATTCAAATCATTATTAATCAAAACTAAATAAAAAATTGCTGGAGATTTTAAGAGTTCCAAATCCCAACGCCCAACAAATCTTCAGCTTTCGTAATGAATCCTAAAAGGACCTTGGTGTGTAAATTCATTTTTATATAGGAATCGTCGTCTAAAATGAATTAATTCTTGTCTAACCGAGGACGGATATTCACAAGGAATGTGTTCTGAATCCTTGTCCTTTTCAACTCTGTGGTCCCGTCACCAAGCAAATGAAAACTTAGTCGGTTATGACCAGTTGTATGGCCAGCGACTAACCTGATATTAGCCCCATTTAACAAAATCATATCCTTCGCATCGAAAGGGTCGCCAAAAAAAGCATAGCCTGCTTAAGGCCCCTTCCGCTCCCCAGTACTAAGCGGAATCTCACTATACCCACTCAGTAATTATGGCTTTTGAAGAAGACCAAGTGAGGTAAAGAAAATGGTTCCGCTCCCACAGTCAGTTGAGGATCCATAGTAGCATGGCACCCAGAACAGTTTTGTTGGCATAATTCGAAATTTTTATTTTAAATTACTTTTTCAAAGAGCTTAAGGCAAAACTTAAATTAGTAAGTACTTGCAAAACAAATTTCATAGAAAAATAATAGCAATATTTTCCACCCTTCTGCCACTCACGGGAGCCCAAACGCCTTAATATTTTCATCGCAACCGACTTTAATCTCTGTTGCCATTTAACATAAAAAAAAGTTAAAGATGAATGAATAAAGAATACAGAAAACATCAAATACCGGCAAATACCTGCTCACACTCCCCCACTCAACCGCCAACACTTTACTTTCGAGTGCCGTGTTGATAGCGCAACCCTTCTCAAGTTTGCCCATTCAAAGCGAAGTCAAGTGGTGGCAATTATTTCCATGATGACTTTTTCAAAGTGGTATCTTCAGCAGCCTTGTTGCAGGCGCGTGTGGGATCGCCGACCGCACGCCATAGACAACGCCAGGCGACGTCGCGATTTTTTAGCGTTACGTTCCTCACCTGCTTTCACATAAACAACCGAACAATTAAAAGCATCAACTTAGCTAATTTATTAGGCGTAAAGTTAAGTAAAACGAACAAATACAGAAAAAATTCAAAAAAAAAAAAGTAATGAAAATCATTTATTATAAAACCAAACCAAAGAGTAGCATACACAACAACGCCTGTTGCGACTTTTGATGCGGCCATAAATCTTTTTCGCCAATTCATTTCTTTTAAATCTTTTATCTACTAGCCAGTAACTTTTGCTGCACAGATCTATTTCCCTTTAGATTAATCATTCGGCTATTCGTGCATATATTTAACCCTTAATTTATTTAACCCATTTCATTTAAATACACATACAAACAAACATGCGTACATATATACACCCGCAGAAGGGTGTGTGCCCCATTGCCTTTATGTGCATCTTTTTAATTATTTTTCTATTCTTCTTCTTCTCCTTCTTCTAATTTTGTGCATAGATGATGACTATGGACATCACCAAAACGGAGCCCAACATGGGTCCAAATAATCCACAGAATGCGCAAAATCCCAACAACGGCAATGGCAATCCCAATATTGGTAATCCGAATGGCAACAACAACGGTCTGACCAGTGTTAGCGCCGTCGGTAATGCGAATAGTAATGCCAACAACAATAACAATGGCAATGGCAGTCAGCTGTGCGCCGGTTGTGGCAAACACATACAGGATCGTTACTTGCTGCGCGCTCTAGACATGCTGTGGCACGAGGATTGCCTCAAATGTGGTTGTTGTGATTGTCGCTTGGGTGAGGTCGGTTCCACGCTCTATACGAAGGGTAATCTTATGCTGTGCAAACGTGATTATTTGAGGTATGTGTTGGCAATCGATTACAAATTATTTCTATTTAAGAGAAAATTATATTTTGCTAATTCATCTACTCTTTTTGGTTTTTTTTTTGTAGATTATTTGGTAACACTGGCTATTGTGCAGCCTGCAGTAAAGTCATTCCGGCCTTTGAGATGGTCATGCGAGCGCGCACAAATGTCTATCACTTGGAATGTTTCGCTTGCCAGCAATGTAATCATAGGTGAGTGGGGAATTTTCTTTTGTCTTTGGTTATTTTATTATTTAAAGAAAGAAGCATCACCAAGTTCTCATTTTTCCACGGACCGAAAATAACAGTTATTTTTTTTAACAGTTCAACTTTGCCAAATATTCTTTAAGTAAAAAAAATAAATAAAAGTCCATTCCGTATAATAAACAACCCGCTTATACAACACCAATAAATAAAATTTGGTATCAAATGAAAGAGGACTGAAATAGCTTTTAAGCAGAAATAACGAACGAAGGTTACCACCTCTATTTATATCTTCTTTTTGTCATTTAATACAAAGGAAATTCACATACCTGCCCCAAGATGTGTTCTATGGTAATTAAATAACATTTTCCATTGAAATATTTTTCAGTAGGTAGCTTTCCTCGTTAAGACATTTCAGTTTTACAGCTATTTTAGTCCTCTTTCGTTTGGTACCAAACTGTTTAATTTGGATAAGCGATTGTTTATTATTGGGAAAGGACTTTTATTTCGGCCTTACAAAATATTTGGCTAAGTTAAACTGTTAAAAAAAATAACTGTTATTTTCGGTCCCCGGATTTTTTTATTCTGCAAACATATTCAGAACTTCTTCTTGTTTGGCGCTGTAAACGTCGAAGCAATTTTAGTTAATTCCAAATAAAGCGCGTCGTCGTTTCTGTTCTGTGCTGAGGCCAATTGCAAGTGAACAAGCGATGCCAAGTCGTTTTCCACCTCGTTTTCTCATCGCAGAGGAAAAGGTATTCCTTTCCTACCACCAGCGGGGTTCGTGTTGAAATACATTCAGGGCTGTAGCGTTGGTGCCCATTCGTACGCCATGACTAAGCCAGCAGAGCCGCCGTATTTTAATGCGATACACTACGTCTATATCTTTCTAAAGCTAATTCAGCCTATCGTTCCATCGTGTGCAGTATACGAGCTCGCAAATCTTCCGCAAAATCGTTATCTCGAATACACCAAGGATGGCCTCGACACTAACGTCAGTGTTAAGGGGGAATGCACTGACTGTTTGCTTGACGACAGGATATGCTCACCTTGATTTCGCTTACTACCAGACCGACCATTCGCTTTGTTTCTATATCCGACTTGGAAAAAGGTAAAACAAACGGAGCATTAGTGAAGCCCCATCCTGTCGACTTCAGCGACATAAGCCAATAACTGTAAAAAAATGTTACCAAGTGATTTATTTCTGTGGCTTTTACTATTTTCTTAAACATCTCAGCAGCAAACGGCTCGGGGAGGTCCTTCCCAATTCTGACGGAGCTGCTGGTGTTGCTTACCATCATTTTACACAGCCGTATTAGTTTCGCGGCATAAAGGCAATTTCTTTTCGTGCTGTCGAAGGTGGCTTTGTAATCGGCATATATATTGTGTATGATGATACACTTTTTTTTCTGGGCTTGGTGACCGTTGGCTCTAGCTTTTCACACAACACTTTCCATTAGACCTTTTATGTCTTAATAAGATGGCTAATTCCGATTCAGTAGGCGCACGGGGTCCCGTTTCTTGTGGATTGGACAGAACACACTTAAATTCTAGTCGTGAGACATGCGTTAATATTTTGTTTTTTGTTTTTTGTGTGACAAAATATATAATCTCGAAAATGATAACAAATACGAATAAATGTAACGATATTTTGAAGCTTTTGAGGTGCAGAAATCAGGAAAAATGGTCTCGTTCGTTAAAAAATTATCTTGACCTTGAAAATAATCTTCAAAAATAGAAGTTATTAAATTAATTTTTTATTTTTTTTTACCTAAAAACAGTACGCAATGAACTTTTCAATACAAGGGTTTATGCTATACCTGCGGCAAGTAATTAATTTTTACGCCAAAAGAAGGGAAACAAATTCTAAAATTTTATTCTTTAAGGTGGGTTCTAAGGTGAAGGTGATTTTCTTTTCAATCAGACCCTCAAAATGAACTGTAAAAGTAAAATTTTTGACTTTTTGCCCTTTTTTTTACCTAAACACAAGTTTTTTAAAAAAATTTTAAAATTGTTTTTCAGTTGGTTTAAAAGTTCATTACACACTGCTCTGAGGTCAAAAAAGAAAAAAAATTGAGATTAATATATCTGAAGTTCATTTTTAGAGGTCAAGACATTTTTAGAGGTCAAGAAAAAAAGGTCGCTGTGGTTGGTTGTTCTAATAGAAGTTCACAATGCTTAATTTTTTTCCTCACTTTCATCAAAAAGTAGTTATTTTTCTACACTCAAATATCCGTATTTTGATAAATTAGCACAAAAAGAAAAACGGTTTTTGGTCGATCTGGATAGGCCAACAAAATTTGACAGTTTTCAGAATCAACTGCGAGCTTGTTTACTAAACTCGGTATCCCTATTTAGACCTGTAGTGTGTAACGGGACCTTCAAGCGTATCGACTGAAGTGGTCAGAAAACCAAGACGCATTAGTTCTATCTGACAGTGCGATTTTGATTATTATTACTAAAAATGTATGTACTTAAATATATATTTAGTTATCTGAAAAATATAGCAGTTTTCCTATAACCTATACTCCATTCCACTGCTTTTCCAAATTATCCTATTTTACATTAAAATTGCGCACTTATGTCCATTTTAATGGCGTGTTAAGCAGTTAGCTTTATTAAAATTTTATTTCTATGGTCAATTATCGATACTAAACCATAAATTTCTTTGCGCAAGTGTAAAGAAAACAACCCTTTTGACACCTTACATATGTACATACACATTCGCATCTTTTGACTTTCAATCCTTCGACCCATACATGCCTTACTAACCAACGGCCGCCTTGTTTGCCTTTTTATTTGTTGTATTGTATTTCTTTCTTGCCCTTAAGTGCCAAGTAAATCTCTTTTTAATCTCGCATCAAATAATACCCAAATCGGTAGTTTAAATTTTATTATAACAAAAATGCAATCGACACCGCCACAATCAACAATGCAACAAAAATAAATAAGGCAATAATAATTCGTAAAAAGAGGCAAGCAACGTAAAGGATATATTTATAATACAAAGAGAGGCAATAACTGTGGCAAATAAACGGAGAAAATACAACAAGGCATACAATAAGCGAATACAAATCAGCAGCAAGTGCAGTTACACCAAGTACGAGTACAGTAAGCAGCGGGGATGGCTAGCCAGGCGGTGGGAGAAGAGCTGCGTTTCGTTGACTTTTGCTTGCTTGTTTGCTATACTCGTACATATGTATGGAGTAGATGTGCCTTAATGGCTACTCTGTTTGTTGTGGCAGCAACAATATGCGTGCTTGTTGTAGTTACTATTGCATATTTATTATACAACAATCCAAAAGGGTTATCCCTGCGTCGGCGGGGTTCGCATAAATTGGCAATTTTCGCTTACTGGTTTACTGCTGTGAATTTCCATTTGTTCTTTAATTTTAGTTCTATGTATTCAATCGCTCCCGTTTTGACTCTTTGTGTGCCCACAGAGGTGCACTAATGGAAAATCGCCGAATTTATAGCATTTGGCCAATTCTTGAAATGTCACTCAGGAGAATTTCAATGTGCCGCCTTGTAAATGCCAGCAGACGCACTTGTTTACCCTCACTCACCACACACACAAACACACACACACACACACACTCCTACATATGTCGAAATATTCGTGAATAAATGGAATATGTTCTTTGTAGAAACCGAAAATTTCTGCATTGCCGCAATGTTAAATTTGATTTTTCCTTATTCCCAATTCATGAACGTTGTAGTGCGTGCACTGCATATCCATATCCATTTCCGCTTCCGTTTTGTTGGTACATACATATATTTTTCAGTGCGCCCCTATACTTTTACTTGTCTTTTTTATCTTCATTGCTTATAGGCGCACAACCCTTTTGTTGTCCCATTTGTTGAGCATTGTTGTTTTTCGCTGATTTTTCACTCACAAAATAAAAACAATATGCCTCTATTGCATGCATTATTAATATGCTTTTCTTCATTGAATGGACAACAACAATATGCGCCGGGGGAGAAGTTGAACCAACCCACTGTGCCGGTATGCGGGCTTCGGTGTATTGGCCTCACTTTTGATTTCCATACACAAGCCAATCGCCTGAATTGTTTGGCCACATTGTTGTGAAACACTGAGGCGCGTTTTTAAAATGCATATTCCAATTTTTCCACTATATAAAATATTTAAATTGCCAATTGGCTAGAACTGCTTGGGTTGGTGTGCCGCGTGTAACAATATCATTGCGATTTTTCAATACATATTTTTCGTGTAGAAAATAAAAAATAAATAAATATGCATTACGTTCAAATTACTCACATGGCTTGTACCCGTATTTATTTCAGGCATATTTTTTTTGAGGCCAAGAGTCGGTTATGAAAACAGTTTTTGTAGAAATTGTGTGCTTTGCACCCAGAGGGTGATCAGAATCACAAAAAAAAAAAAAAAAACGAATTTACAATTTTAATATTTGTAGTTCACATTTATTAATTTAAGGCTCTGCTTTGCAAGTACCAAAATTGAAAACGTTGAACTAGCATTCCTCTCAGTTTACACTTTTTAAAATCTTTTATTTTTTATTTTTATTTTCTACCACCCCTTAATCATTGCGGGTTCTTCACGCCTCTCTGGTAGTCAGGTTATTTAGTCCCAGCAGATTTCCTCGGTTTGCGTTGTGGGACCGCTCTTCCGGATTTCCAAAAATATTAGGAATGACGAGAGTCGTCACTGACAGGCTAGTTGAGTTGGGTTAAGTGGACTTGTGAATAGGTGGTTGGTGTCATGTGGCTAACCTTCACCAGCCGGACATATGTATATATGTACATTGGGTACGTTGGGGTGTAGTCTGGACAAATGGTGTTTACCCCACTACAATATCCAGACCGCAATTGAGCCAGAGTAACGCGTGCCTCTCTTGGAAATTAAAGCTCATTCGCTGCTATAGAAGGCGATTGTACTGCGATGACGGCATTCAAAGGACGAGAGTTAGTGAAGTTGGTGACAGTCTCTTTGTCGTTTATTGATCTACACGGTGCCGGCTCCAGTAGTTGTTTTACATATGTATACTAAGACCTCATCTTTTAGTTTGTAGAGATTCCATTTGACATGCCTTGGTGATGGTGCCGCCTCAAGCAAGTGCCTGTTCGGTTGCTCACGTCTGTAGCACCCTACTAGAAACTGCTAGCTGAGCTTGATGTTGCCATCTTTTACTCTGATAATTCGCTGTCCACCTTTTCAGGTTCTGAGTGGAGAGGGGGCCTTTATGTCTTCCAGTATGCATGCATATTCCGTGGTGTCAATGTCTTTTGAGGCTTTTGCTTTCCCGATGACCACTCGAACTTCGGCACAGGAGATATAAATAAGGGCATAGTTTTTGGTTGTTTATGATTTGCTTTGGCTCCGACGAGACGCGATCACTGATTCAGTTTCCACTCTTGCTTCGCGCTTCGCTGGGCTGGACAGGAACCTAAGGCTGACCGAAGTTTACTCACATTGGAGGTGAAGTGACAGGTCTTAAAATTCGTTTGTCACTGCTTTCGCTTGTTTTGGTTTACCGGTTGTCGGATCTCTAAACTGGCGAATATGGTTATGCTCCTTCTAAAGTCTTCTCTATGTCTCAGTCTAGAGCACGTTGCAGTTAAATTAAAAGTATTTTAGTCTGCCTTGGGAGGCTAGACGCGATTCGGGGGATGAGGTATAAATTGTGTTGTCTATCTGGTCCTTATTGTTACTGTTGGGGTTGTTACCTTGTGGTGCTCGTTGGAAGGATCGCAGGCGACGATTGAGACCACAGCCACTTGTTCACTCACAGGTGATACGCAGCCAAGAGCACGTTCTAACGTTGCACACGCCAAGCCTCGAATTGCACACCGTCACATTCCGCTATATTCTGGTCTGGCACACGAAACAAGCGACGGAACGTATCAAGAGCTGCTGGATAGCCCTCGCACGGGAGTTACAGAAGATTATCGCATGATGAGCCCCTTGGAGCAGTGGAGGCTCATTGAGTAGAGACTGTGGAGAGAAGCGAACAATGATTGTGGTATTTCGACGATCTATGGAGGGTTATATCGCCGAAACAGGATAAAATTCAAGTCATTCCGGCACCTTCGAAACACCGGCTAATGTGAGAAGCAACTTTTAGTAATCTATTAGCAGCGTAGCTGATCTGGAAAATTTACGTGGTTGACTGTCCTAATTCAAGAAAAAAAGTACATAGTTCTTTTTGGTAGTAGTTCTTTGTACGCCTCAGAAGGGGACTCCTCTTTTTTCTTAACTAAAATTAAGTTTGCAATTTTTTTTTATCATATTTTTTTTTTTTACTTCCAAACGGCCACTGCTATTGATGACTTTTGAACTATGGAATTGAGTTCTGAAGCAGAGATTTTGCTTTATGTCGCTGCCCTGCTCTTTGCATACAATTCGCGATACTCATTTTCATTTTCAATTCATGCGCTGCACAATACAGCAAGAAGCAGCTAATCAATTTTTTAAAAATTAATTCAATTGCCAAAAAATCATTGAGCCATGCAATTTACACTGCTACCCCCCTCCAAACCCGAGTTCACCCACATCTCAGTGAGTTAAAAGCGCTCACGTGTGAGACAGAACCACTTCACAGTGGCGTTGACAGCCTCCGGGCGATTGTCGCTTTCATTTTATTTTTAATTTTTTTTTGGAGAAAAAATTTCTGTGGCTTTTGTTCAAGCGGAAATGTGACGTTCGTGTTAATTTAACATGCGGGCCTTCAGTTGCAGCACTACAAGTTAAATGATAAAAAAAAACAAAAAAATGGGCGCACAAAAAGAAAACAGAAAAGTTGTGGAAAAAAGCGTTGTTTGTGGCAAAAAGAAAGTGGACGCGTGCGGTGGACCATTGTTTTTACTGTTAATTTTTTATATTTTATTTTTGGTAAATGATTTGTTTTTGTTTTTTTCCCCCCCGTTTTGCTTTTGGCATAAAGTTTGCATAATTTCCTGTCGTCATCGATATTGGCGCTTGATGTGTTGATATGAATGTCCGAATTGTCGCTGTTGCTGGCTATTTTTTCCCCTTCCTCGTCCTCTTCTATTTTCCATTAAATGATTTTGATATGGCGGTTTTTTGGTGCAACTGTTGCCGTCTGACTGCTGTTTGTTGGTGCTTGTATGCTGCTCCTGCTGGCTGTTTGGCTGCAGGATGGCTCTGTACTGCGCACTAAAGTAGGGCCGGAAATGCCCGCAGCTTCTGCCGCAAAACGTTTACCGTTTTCCATTTGTATACCTCCCACAATACTATACATGGCTTCCGTGTGCCTCCAAAGTTGGTTGTTTGCATTTTTGTGGCATTCCGCCTCTATAGTTACGAGCAGCACAATTTTTTGCTGCACTCATTTGGAATGGAATTTATGACAATTTTTTTTCGTATTTTTTTTAATGCACTATTTTTTAGGACCTTTTTTTGCGTAAAATCACAGATTGGTACCAAAGCCGCTACCGCCATGCCTATACTAGTAAGAAAAAAGTGGTAGTTGGTAGGCGGGCGACAAGCGACATTCATCAGACGCTGCCGGCGATTACGCTGTGACAGCTGGAAAGTATGAGTAGTGATATGTTGGCTTACACATATCAGCGTTGGCTCCCTTATAGTGTTCAGTTTTTTTTCTCTTGCTTACCTCTCCCAATTTTTATCGAGTCGCAGGTGCTTTGCTAGTTGCTGTTACTTTTTTGTTGCAACTGTTTGCGAATTTTCACGATTTTTTCCTTTGTAAGATAAACACAAATATTTGTTCCTGCCAAAATACCAACTACTCAGCCACATGTTGTAGGTGTGGCATCGGTTGATTTTGTTTTTGGCGCTTGCAAATAAACTGTCAATCGATTTACTTTGCAATGGCATTGTCGAAAATATGAGTTGGACGTGGGAGGAGACTATGTTGCATAAATCATGGGGCGGAATACCTTGTTAATTTTTTTAAAGTTTTTTTTTCAATACTGGTTGCACATATTTGTAAGTCCTTTGTAAACGTCGCTGATTTAACTGATGTCGCTGATGATAACTGCTAAAAATATATACATACATGAATAAGCATGTATATATGCATATGTATGGTGTAGGTAATGCGTCCAAACAGCCCCATCTATATGTATATATACACTGCCGGAACAAAGTATTGGCACAGTAAATTTTTCACAATTTTTATTCTAAAAATTTTTCTGCAAATTTTGTATAAAAATATGGTTCATTCTACAACAAAAACCAATCAATTTTATTATAATAGAGAACAATTTTTAAGTAGCTAGGAATTGTTGTTGATTTTTGGCAATTTTTTCGCGCAGTCTCTTCCATACAAATAATTTTTTCGAAAATACTTCATATGGAAAAAAATTGTTGTTCTGACACAAATGGAGAGATCTACATTTTTGATCTACCTCGAAATAAGCTTTTTTTTGGCAGAAGTACACTCGGAGGGGCGACCGCTATTTGAAAAATATATATATTTTTTTTATGTTGCTGGGACCAGAAATTGAAACACAGGCCTCCCGCGTGGCACTCGAGCCCTACTCAGATCCGAAAAAATAACATAAGCATTTTCACTGTATGGGAACCATGTAAAATAAAATCAGTTTGATCGGTTTTTTTCTTAATTTCAAAATCGGGAGTAGTTTTTTTTTTTTAAACTACAATTTTTCGAAGAACTCGAAACCGGTTTTGGAAAAAAGCGAATATGCGAACACCCTAGTAGTCACTCATTGAAGTCCCTGAAAATTTAGATAATAAATATTCGGCTTTAAAACGATAAATTTGTCCAAATTTGTGCAATTTTCATCGATGACGTTTTCGAATTTTGGACCAAAAAATAGCCGCAAGAGGCGAATCTGATTAACAAGCAATGTAAGGCGACACTCTCGGTCGCTCTAGCCGATAGGTTAAGGGTGCGTAATACCACTCCGTACTACTTGAGTTCGATTCCTGGTCCGGGCAACATCTAAATTAGCAAAAAAAAAACATTTCTAACAGCGCATATAGGGTTACATGAACGATCTAGGCTGCCATAACTTAATTTTGGAAAATTTCAAGAAAATTTTAAAAATTAGTTACATTCGATAGACAACATTCCGAAGAACATATTCCAGCCCCCCTCTCCTTTCTAACTTGGAGAGCGAACGCTCCCCATTGACCGGCATCAGAATATTCTTACGCTGCGTATAAATTAATTTTCCCTCCTTAGAAAGATAGCAGCGTTATTAAAGAAATATTTTGTTTCACAATTACTTTTGTGCTCATCATAAAACATTTGAATGAAAATAAATACATACATATATTTAAGAAAAAATGGCCAGCTCTTCAGTACCCACCGAAGCGTGAAAATTGAAATGCTTGCTTCAATTCCATTTGAATGATCTCTGTTTTGCAACAGACATATTTACATTCATATGTATGAGACAGCAGTTAAACTTGTGTGACATTTTCCTTCCCGCCTCTCAATTCGCAGTGACATTGTTGCCATTTGCATTTTTGTGTTGAGTTGACAACTGTCAGATAAATGAAAGGAAGACGATTTTCAACATAGAATGATGGGCGTTGTCCTTCGCTGAAAGGAAGAAATTAAAAGTGCACATGCAACGGTACTTGTGCTTCATTTGTGTAGTTATATTCTACCATTCTTGGTTCTAAGCCACTCTGGCATACCATAAACTTACTGCATTACTTTAGTCTCCATTGCTACTCAAGCCAAGTGGAAAAATGCTTCCTTTACTGTCATTTAAGTACACAAAGCACAGTAAATCAGTTACTAAAGTTTTCCTTTTTCCCTTTTTTATCCTTCCAGATTCTGCGTTGGCGATCGTTTCTACCTGTGTGAGAACAAAATTCTCTGCGAATATGACTATGAGGAACGTCTCGTCTTCGCCTCTATGGCCAATCATCCGATGTTGAAGCGACATGCCAGCGCTATTGGTCAAGGCTCACCGACGGGCGCTGGCGGCTTAATGGGTGGTGGCAGTCCTGGCGTACCGGGTAGTGTTGTGCAAAATGGACCGCGTACACCGGGCGATCACAATAACAACAATGGCCCACAAAGCGGTGGTGGTGGTTCGCCGTTTGGCGTTCAAGCGGCAGCTGCAGCGCATATGAAGAACTCACTGGGCGCGTCCAGCTAAAATAAAGCCTTGTCCATGTTAGCCGGCGGTGGCAGTGGCAGTGGCAGTGGCAGTGGCGGCAACAATGTCGGTGTCGGCGGCGTCGGCGTCGGCGTCAATGCAGGGGCCAGCGTCAGTGGGTGCTATTTTAATAATGGCGTAAGCGGCGGCGTCGGTATCGGTGTCGGCAGTGGTGCAAGTCCTGGAGGTGTTGGTGCTGGCGTTGGCGGTGTAGGCGTGGACGGCGGCTGTAAAAGCTACCAAAGAAAATACTATGACATAAATTGACTGAATGGTAATGGTGGTGGTGGTGGTGGTGTTGGTGTTGTTGGTAGACGTTTGCCAAATGAAGCAGCAAGTGTGGAAAGTAGTGAAAGGACATACCTAAAAGGATAATTGTAGGATGTATGTATGTACATACTTTATGTATGATGACTATGTTAGTTAGTTTGAGTGTGAGTGAGTGTGAGTGTATTTACGTATACCGTTGTATATAATTAGTTGATTTAGCGTTTTTATAATTACACTCAGTTATTAATTACTTACTTTCATTGTGACTTGCGAACTGAAAGTCAGCTTAGAAATGAATTTAGTTTAAGTTGCTAGCAGGACAATATTTAATTGTAGCTTTTAATATAATTTAGTGTTTATAAATATTCTTAATTTATTGTCAAACTTATTTTAATTTTATGAAAATGATTCGTGTGCTGCATAATGAAAATCGCGGAGATTTGTTTGTGTAAATAAGTAAGTGCAAGGGATATGCGAAAATTAATTGGTCGATTGTGGATAGCAACACAACCTCAACAAGAAATGCTATACAAGTTAAAAAAAAATGGAAAGTGCGTGCCAAAACATTTTGTAACCAATATTAAGATATTTTTTGCAATATTTTCGAGTTATGTTCCAATATGTTTGATTTGTTTTATGCCAATTGTGAAAGAATTAAGGAAAAACATGGCGAATAGAAAATGTAAACTTTGTTTGAAATTTTGAAGATTTCGGTGCTTATATGGGTTTAGATTCTTTTTCCAACTGTTTTTTGGAATGCAAAATATAAATTTTTAAAAGTTTATGTGTATTTGAATTTTGCTTTAATGTAAATTTAATTTTTTGTTTAGATTCTCTTGTTACTCCCTTTGTAAGACGTTTTTTGTTTTAAATTTTCTTATTTTCAAATTGCGCTCGTCGAAATGAAATCTTAGAATTTATAGCACCGTTTTAGATTTGTTTGTAGCTTTATGTTTTCTAAGTCCGGTTTGTAAAAAAATTAAATTTTTAAATTACAAAATAATTTATTAAATGAGAAGCATTTAATTTTTTTAATATAACTACTTTTTAAATTTTTTTGTTAATAAATTAAATATTTTTTTTGGAATAACATTTTTTATTTTCTTAAATAGATTTTCATATTTGTTTATTTGTTTGTTTTTATTTTTTGTTTTAATTTGTTAATACATGCCACTTTTTCAGTACATATTCTAAATTGTTCTTATGTTTTTTTACAATGTTTTGGAGTAAAAATGTTATTTTCTATAGTTATTTCTTGTATTTTTTTAGATATTTTTTTTACATATGTATGTGCACACATTTTTTTAATTTGATTGAATTTTTAAAATTTTTAAAAATTAAAAATTTTTGTCTTTTATTTTATTCAACCTTTTATTTTTTTATTGCTTTCATTTTCTTTTATTATTTTAATGTTGTTCCGTAGTTTTAAACTTTTTTGTAATTTTATTGAATTTTCGTCTGTTTATTCATTTTATTTTTTACTTTATCCAACTTTTTATTTTTTAGCTTTTTAATTTTCTTCTTAATTTTTTAATTTTTCTAGAAATTTGAAAATTTTTCGAACCTGGTTTATTCTTTTCTTTTTTTACTTAAGTCAACTGCTTATTTATTTAATTCTTTCATTTTCTTTTATTGTATCTTTTTGTGATATGTATGTATGTATTTTTTTGTTTCCCTATTTTGAGATTTTTTATTTCTTTTAAAATTTGGTATTTATTTTTAAACTTTTTACTATATTTTTTGATTCTTTTGAATTTTTTGTTTCGGCCTAACATTGAATTAATGCTTATGAAAAAACACATGTACTCATACATATATTTTAATATGTAAAAACACCAGTCTAAAGTAGCAAACATAAAAAGCCTTTTTTGCTATGCATATCTGCTTATTTAACATTACTTCATATTTTTTCTTTAGCAAAAATTTTCCAAAAAATTAATTATGCCGCTTTGTTCCCCATGGGCAAGATATTAAAAAAAAAAAATAATATCACAAACAGACAAAAATTCCCACAACGCGAGGTTCACAAAGAACATGTTTCTTGCCAGAAATCGAGAAGGCAACTGAAAGAAGAGAAAATTTACTTTATATGTATGTATGTATGTAATTCTTTCAATTTTCACTTTATTAACCCGCTTTCTTGCTTGAGGAACGCTCCCGACGGCTCGTGCGGAACAAAGCGGTTGCTAGGCTCCTGCATAACTTGTTGCTTATAAAAAGTTGCGCAACAATGTTGCAGACAACCTGCATATGAATTAAATTTCAATTGACCAAAAAATATACAAATAAATGAATACATTAGTTACTTCTTTCAGGCAGCATACGAGTTCCACTATTATTTTTTGATTTCTTTCAATTTCTTTGGAACGAAAAATGCGTTTCCAGAAGTAAAAGAAAATCAAGCAACAAAAATCATTAAAAGAGCAAATATTATAAAATGGTGTTTTAGTCATCCCCACCGAATTTTATCGATTGATTTTCTGTAGTAATATGTATGTATATTTAATTTAAAAAATGTGTATATTAAAAATAATTTTAAAAACTATTTATACTTTAAATTATGTTGCTTAAATGCTAAGTGAACTGTTTTTTATTATTAAGGGTAAAATAGGTTTTCACAAATATTCAACTGTATATAAAGCGCAAAATAAGCTTGGATCAAAGGTTTTGATTTATTGAAAATAAAAGAAAGAAAAAAAATAAGTACTGCAGATAATTCTATCGAACTCTGTCAGAGTTTCCTTTTCGCATTGTACGAAAAATATGTGAAAAAATTGAATTGTTGATTATTTTTTAAGTTTAAATAGTTTAGTGTGAGGCTAAATAAATTTTATGTATGAGCATATTTTGAGAACAAAATGTAAAACAGTTAGTTGCGATTCATTGCATAATACATATAACTATGGGGGTATTGTTTATACAAATTGAATTATAAATTGTGCGAATAATAGCAAAACTATTTTCAATAGTACATATATGCTATAAGTGTGTGTATATTTTGAAATAATTTAAAATTTTTAACATTTAATGGAACGCAGGAAAACCTAAACAAAGCAAAACTACTACATACATACATACCTACATGCATGATATTAAAATTCTTTGTTGTATTTTGCAAATATAATTAATTGATTAATTCATAGTATTTATACCAAGCAATGAATTGTAAAATAAAATAAAATAAAATAAAACAATAAAAACGAACAGAGAAATACAATAGCAGAAAAAAACACAGCAATAAAAGGAATTGTAATCCAGTATGAGTATGTATGATGATGAAGAATTTAGTAGATATGGTGTTTTAAGAAAAATTATAAAAATTATGCAACGGAAATGCAAACGAAGGTAATTATATTTTCGAAGGAAATACATACATACTCATAAATGCAGAGAAAGAAAAAAACAAACACGAAAATAAATATAAAATATCGCCACATCTCATTTTCAAAACTTCAGTAAAAACATTTACATCTCTGCAAACCGAAGCTACCGAAGGCTTAACGAAAGCTTGAAAAGAGTCCGGATGTTTGTTTCGATTTCTGTAACGAGTTCTTTACGAATATTCAAAGAAAAGCATATGTGGTGGGGTCTCACGAACTCGTAAAGAAATTTCTGCACGATTTCTAAAAAAAGAAAAAATTTTGAAAAAAATTTAAAAAATTCTTCGCAGCATTATTTTATTTAATTTATTTACCGATTTTCTTCCGAAATTTCGTAAAGGAATCGAAGTGCGCACATTACATTTCATCTTAGATATGTAATTCGGCACAAAATCGGAAAGGGAAATAATGATTTCTTTACTAATTCTTTGACATTTTTCCGCTAGTCAGAATATGCTGAAAGCATGGTTTGCAGGGATTGTATTCCCAAATTTCTTTCCAACCCACTGAAGAATTTCAAAATTGCTTAGAAGATATGTTAAAACAACTCCAGCAAAATCCATCAGTCATACACAGTAAACAATTTTTAAATGAACTACAAATAGTAACTTAAGTAAGTATGTATGTATGAAAAAAAATAAATAAAAAATCCCTGAAAGCACAGCGAAAGGCAATTTAAACCAAAGTTAGTGAAGTGCGCAGCAATTAAAAAAAAAAATACTAAATTAAATTCAAATTAAATATCAAAAAAAAACTCATAATAATAATGTTTTATGGAATTTTGTAGTCGCTCGAGTGTGTACACTATACCTACATATATACTATTATGTAATTAAGTAAGATGAGCATACAAAAGCTAAAAAATTCTAATTGAAGTTCAATCAAAAATCAAAATATTACATACAACTGATATTGATACGAAAGATATTGCGTAGAAGCCAGGTGCAATTGGGTGAAAACAAAATTGCAATGCAGGCGATGAACAAATTAATACTTAGAAAATATATAAATAATACAATATTACGAAAAGAAAAATTAAGAAAAAAAAACAAAAATAAAAAAAAACTTATAATTATTAAAAAAGAAATAATTGATGTCACGAAATGTGTTTAATTTGCATGTGAATATGGATGGTAATAATGACTCAGAGGATAAGTATTAGATTATAAAAATTTTGGTAAATTCCTAGAACTGCTGGAATTTTCGAAATGAGAGCAGTAAAAATACTTATCGGCTGGTGGCTTACCGGATGTGTAAGATATTGCCACATACATGTAGCCTACATTCAGGCACATAGCATCGAAAATATTTCCGCTGCCGCTTTCTGTTGATTTCTGCGCGCCTAGTAGAAATGTG